TCTTGCAATAGTGTTACATTTGACTTTTCTGCATTTTACACATATTCCAAACTAAATAAACAAGTGTAGGAGTTGAACCTGCTTTGTTTTATAAAAAATCATAGCCAACGTAGATACATGTATCTTATCATAGGGAGGGATAAATCGCACTTTGTAAAAAAATAACTCTGATTTAACAACAAATTCTCTGAAAATGACATTATCAAGATACTTGATCTTTTTTATTGACAACATATTCTTCACGTATGGATAACGCTTTGTTTCAACAAACAATCGGCATTCCCATGGGAACAAACTGTGCTCCTCTTCTTGTTGACGTATTCCTTAGTTCATATGAGGATGACTTCATACAGGCGCTTGCATTATCCTTTAACTTTACTTTCCAATATATATATATATATATATATATATATATATATAAAGTGCCCAGAAAATCAACCTTACGATGTTAGAGTAGATCTGTTTCTTTGCTTCCTCCCCGAGCGGGACTGGAACATGTACTTGTTATTTCTAACTTCTACGACAACACCACCTAGCATTGAGCAGACACCTTATCCCCTCCCCTAACTATAGATGATAAAATTCAGCTTTCGTTTCGGGAGGTGTTACCTTCTCGTAGGAATTAAACAAGGATATCTGATACAATACACGAAGTATTCTTTTTAGTGTACAGAAATGATCATCTTCTCATCTCTTCAGTATAATTACATGATTCTAATCTATTTTTAGAAGCATTCAGTCACTGTAAATTAATATACGTATATGTCTGCCTATGTGTAGTGACAACTGCAAATTATACCTTGTCCATCGGATTTCTTATGATTAAGAAATACCAGGCGTTAGAATATGTATAAAGTGCCTAGAAAATCAACCTAACGATGTTAGAGTAGATCTGTTTCTTTGCTTCCTCCCCGAGCGGGTCTGGAACCTGTACTTTTTATTTCTGACTTCTACGACAACACCGCCTAGCATTGCGCAGACACCTTATCCCCTCCTATAACTATAGCTGATAAAAATAAGCTTTCGTATATATATATAGATGATGTCCTCTCACAAAATAATTCAAAGTTTGGTGACTATATTGAACGCATCTATCTCAACGAGCTTGAAATAAAGGATGAAACAGATACAGTTAAGTCTGCTGCATATTTTGACTAATATCTAGAAATTGACAATGAGGGTCGGTTGAGAACAAAACTTTACAACAAATTAGATGACTTCAGTTTCCCAATTGTCATCTTTCCAATTTTATGTAGCAACATTCCAGCAGCGCTTGCATATGGAGTTCATATATCTATCATTTCTTTGATAGAGAACGGCTGCTCACATGAAAGCTATCAAGCCAAGAGTTCCAAGTGGTTAAGGTCAAATGATACCTTCGAAAATTTTACGGACACCATCACGAGTTGGTTCACCATTATGGAATATAAGTTTCACTGATGACCACGGATAAGTTCCAATCGTCTTAACCACAATCCCGTCCTCCCTTTCCCCGAATGTGACCTACCGAATTAGACTTATCGCTGGTTGTGTACTTACATGAACAACACGACGGGTGCCACATGTAGAGCAGGATTTGCTTACCCTGTTGGAGCACCTGAGATCACCAACAGTTTTAATTGGGGTTCGTGTTGCTCAGTGTTATGTTTTTTATGGTGTGTTTAGTATACGGCTGTTTGTATTTGTTTTTTCTTCTTCTTTTATTGCCATGACGTTGTCAGTTAATTTTCGACTTTGATCTTTTGCCTCTCTTCATATTATATCAAAACTGCCTGATCTATTTCAAACATCAATAGATTCCAGGAACAGTATGTTAAACATTATCATCCTACAGCAAATTCTCTATCAGCAAACGTGGATTGTAAATAATAATTACATGTTTTAAAAGTAAAATGTGAATTCAAGCCGTGTTATTGTTTATATTGTCTATAAAACTATTTCGTTGAACACAGTCTAAGCGCTATTTACATATCATAGTATCGAATTCCAAATTAAAATAACACTTTTTAAATTTTGTGCGGCCGGAACACTTATCATCAGGTACACTCAAACGTATTTGAAACATAGGAATGTATAAAAACGTAGAAACGTTAGAAGCTATATGACCGAAAGGGACCTAAAAATGATAGCCAAATTAATCTATTAGCAACTTGGCTTGAAAGATTTGGAAATTTCTTCATAGTACTAATATTCCAACCGGGATTTTGAAAGATATGTTATAAATCATGTCAGTGTCGAAGGAAATTATGCAATATCAGAATTTGTTTTAAATTCTTAATCGGGTCTGTTAGATCATCCATATCATTAACATTAACATCATCATCTTTCTTCTTCTTCTTGGTTACAAATGAACTTTTCGCGGGAAATTAAAAGTAGATGTGCCTTAGAGTTCATTCTGGGGTATTTTGAAGGATCCAAATAAGAGGGGTTTAAAAGGGAATAATTTGGTTGTGCTGCATTCCAGAAACTGTCATCAGTGACATTTATTTATATGTATACGACAGTTAGTGCATTTTTGTGTCCTTTAGGGTATAAAATGGGTAAGATTCAAGACATACACTTGACAAACTATGCATGAATAAATATGATTATGATTTTTAAAAAATGGCAAGAATATCATAACCTGACCTTTATGTTCAGAAAGCAACTAAATACAATTAAAATGCTTCATTCATCATTCATGCTGTATTGGATACAACTTCTGACGTCAGGAACAGAGAAGCCGTATAATCAAAATAGAGCTTCTTTTTCTAACACTGATTTATGTTTATGCAAGGTAAATTTATTAAATCATGTTTTGATATGATTAAAACGCTTTATTTTCAGAAAAAGGAAGACCTAAAAAGAATGAGTGGAAAAAAAAGTTAAAGAAATTCTACTATTCAGAGGATACCAAAGCGATTGAAAACCTCGTATCAGGTAATCAAATTATATTGATATCTGGCCTCTCGGGGTCAGGAAAATCAACTATAGCATTTCATATTGCGTTGAATTTGGAAGATAAACAAGGATATGATCTCATTCCTGTTTCAACATGTGCTGACATAACTTCTGTTATTAACAATGAGCAAAAACAAGTATTCGTCTTAGATGACGTTTTTGGAGTAACTTCTTTTGATTCCTATCGGATTAACTGTTGGCTAAATAGTATGAATAATATACATGATACATTTATGGAAAAAACGAAAACAAAGATTATCTTAACTTGTAGGTCAGATATTTATAAAAGCGTCAAAGAAAGAGGTTTAGAAGGAATTATTTCAAACTGCAGTATTTATGAAATGCAAGGTTTATCATTGATGGAGAAAAAGGAAATAGCGAAACTTTATCTTCCAACGCAAAAAGTGCCAGAAGATGCACAAATTGAAAAATATCAAATTTTCCCTTTACTTTGCTCACTATGGTTTGACGATGCGTCACATCCAATTCCATTTGGGGAGATAAATTTAATGAAGGAATCAGATGAATCGTATTTAGCTCTTGCACTTCTAATAATATTTAATAATAAACTAGATGCGTCACTGACATACGATAATTATACAAGAATAATGCAGGATCTATACCCCCATCGCATGGATTATCCTCCGTCCCAACAGAAAATTTGGGAAATTCTAAACAATCACTGCTATATTAAAAAAGAGTCGTGCTTTTCATTTATTCATGACAAAATTTTTGATGTAGCTTCACAACAGATAGGAATGAAATTTATCAAATGTATCATAGAACACGGAAATTCTTCTTTCATTAGCAGTAAACTACGTTTAGAATCCCTTAAAACAATCCATAGTAATGAAATCTTATCAATACCAGTAGAATTTGAAGACGCATTCTTTGCAAGAACTATGAGGGATTTAAGAGCGGGAATGAACTGGGATGTACTAGGAAGCAACCAAACACAGATAAAAGATTACAGAGTAAAGTTAATCACTCATTTGAAGAATAATGAGATAAGTCTCCAAAAGACTTCAAACGATGGATCAACAGCATTGCATGTTGTTGCAGCGCATGGTTATTACGACCTGACACAATTTTTTCTTGAAAAAGAAGCTTCGCTGATAAAATCATTAGATAATACAGGGAGAACTCCATTACACTACGCAGCTTGTTATGGTAAAAATTTAATAGTAAAACTTCTCTTGAAGAATGGAAGTTTGATCAATGCCAAAGACTGTTATAATGTGACTCCTCTTATGTTGAGTTGTTACAACGGACATATGCCTATAGTGAGGGAGTTGCTAGACAAAAACGCCGATATTAACTGTGAAAATAAATATAGTTGGAGTGCATTACACATTGCTTGCTTTAAAGGACTAACGGGTATAGTTGAGTTAATACTGAAAAGAAATTGTAAAACTTTGAATAATACAATAAGCAGTGGAGCAACACCTCTTTACCTTGCATGTGAAATAGGCAACGAGGTAATAGCTTCCACATTACTGCAAAATAATGCGGAAGTCGATTACGGCACTGGTACAGGGAGTACACCTTTGTTCATCGCAAGCCAGAAAGGTCATATCGGTTTGGTAGAATTACTTCTTAAGTTTGGCGCTTCTGTCAATAGAGACACAATAAATGGATTTACACCTCTTCACGCTGCAGTATTAGCTCACAGCACAGCGATCGTTCAATTGTTATTGGATCATGACGCTCTTGTTAATACAGTTGGAGGAGAAAGAATTATTTCTTTACATTTAGCTAGCGAAAATGATGACCAAACGATGATTGATTTCCTAATACAGAATGCTGCAGAAATCGAAACAGAAGATGTGTTTGGAGAAACAGCACTTTTCAAAGCATGCACAAACGGTTTCGAAAATATTGTCGAATATCTAACGTCCAAAGGAGCGTCTGTGAATCAAGGAAATAAACAAGGCCGCACACCTTTACATGTGTCATGCATTTCAGATAATAAACGTATGTGTTATCTCTTACTGAAGAAAGGTGCACTGATAAACCAGGTAGACGTAGAAGGTCATACACCCTTATATGACGCTTGCAAGATGGGATTTGAAAGTATATGTCAGATATTGATAGAAAATGATGCAATTGTTAATCAAGGAAATATTCAAAGTTTGACTCCATTGCATGTATCATGTCTTAATAGACACTATGGGATTGTCGAGCTTTTGTTAGAAACAAATGCAACGATAAATCATTGCGATACATATGGAAACAATCCATTACATTATGTGTGTGAACATGGTCTTATTGAACTTGCCAAACGTTTTTGTGAACGCCATGCTGCAATCAACCAGTGCAATTACAGGGGAGAAATTCCGTTACATTTAGCTTGTCGCCGAGGACAATTAAATATTGTGAACTATTTACTGACACAAAATTGTGCTGTCAATCATAACGATGTAGATGGAACAACACCTTTACACACAGCTTGTCATTACAATCAAAAGGAAATAGTTGAGAAACTTATGCCACTATCTAAGTTGAATACTCGCAACTCCGATGGTGAAACGGCGTTATTCATAGCATGCAAAAAATGTTTTGATAATACTGATATAGTTAAACTTTTATGTTATGATTCAAATGGCTTTCAAAATGATATTTCTGTAAATATATATAACAATGAAGGAATGACACCGCTGCATATTGCATGTAATTCTGGAAATGCAGATATGGTCGAGCTTTTGCTGAAGCTTAAAGCAAATATTGACCTTAGAAATAACAAAGGCGAAACGTGTCTATTGATGGTCTGCAAGTCGGGTATAATTCACATTGCTAAGTTATTGATCAAATGTAACGCCAACGTAGATATCGAGGATAAATTAAAAAAAACTCCATTATCTGTAGCGCTGAAAAGCCATAATGCAACTCTTATTAACCTGCTACAGCGTCACAACGCAAAAGACTATAGAATACCAGAAAGAGAAGACGAACTTCATAAGGCCTGTAGAGAAGGAAACGAAAAAAAAGTTGTCAGTATATTAGAAAAAACATTAGACTCCGATTATATTAACAAAGATGATATACATGGATGGACTCCACTACACGTCGCCTGCACGATGAAAAATACAAATATTGTCAATTTGTTACTCACAAAACGCGCGGACATTAATAGAATTACAAACACAGGAGCAACTCCGTTATATTTAGCCTGTTTCTATGGGAAAACTGAAATAGTAGAAATTTTAGTGTTTAATCGGGCAGACAGAAATAAATGTAATCTTAATAGGTTTTCACCACTTCATATTTCTTGTTATTTTGGAAACAAAGCAATCTGTTCAATTCTTCTGCAGACTGGCAGTGACAAAAATGCTGAAGACAATGATCACGAAACACCTCTGTCTATAGCATGTGAAATGGGACATTGCGAACTTGTAGAATTGCTTCTCGAAAATGAAGTACGGCTTGATAAGAAAAATGGTGATGGCAATGCACCTATTCACATAGCCTGCATAAAAGGGCACACCAATATAGTAGAACGACTTGTCTCAATCAATCAGAGCATCGTTAACCTACCAAACAATAAAGGCTCAACGCCTCTACATCTCAGCTGTCAAAAAGGTCAATTAGAAATTGTAAGAGTTTTACTTAAAAATAATGCTTTGCTAAGTTTAACTGACCAAGATAATTGCGTTCCTTTTTTCTTAGCTTGTCTATATGGAAGAACAAATATAGTCGAAGAAATTTTAAATTTGCAAAATGGTCCAAGTGTTAATGAACATTTTCAAAACGATTTGGTTCCTCTCCACGTAGCCTGTTCTTCCGGGCATCAAGAGTTGACTGAAACCTTATTAAACTGGAGAGATATTGAAGTTGAAATTCGTGATATAAATGGCATGACTGCACTTTATATGGCATGTCAAAGTGATAATATAAGACTAGCAAAATTATTACTTGACCACAAGGCCATAAGCACTCAAAGTGACAAAAGAGGAATTACTCCCCTCCATTTAGCATGTATACAATCCAATGCTGATATGGTCGATCTACTCTTGAAATTTGATGGTTTAGTCAAGAAAAAAATGAAAGGTAAAGCAACTCCGCTGTATTATGCCTGCAAAAATAGTAATATAGAAATAGCCCAACTTTTGCTTAGAAAAGATGTAGATGTTGACGATGGCGACAACAATTCTACGCCTTTACAAATGGCATGTTTGAATGGAAATTATCAGCTTGTTCAAACTATTGTACAATACAAAGCGAACTTGAATAAAAGTGATGATGATGGTAGAACTCCACTATATCTAACATGTTCAGAGGGCCATAAAAAAATAGCCAAATTATTACTAAGCAATAATGCGAATGTCAATAAATGGGATACATCAATGCAAACGCCAATATTCATCTCATCGAAAGAAGGACATTCCGACGTGATTGACGTTTTAATAAAATACAATGCAGATATCAATAAACCAAATAAAGATAGAACAACACCCCTCCATGCTGCGTGTGAGAATAATCATACTGAAGTTGTAGCAGTGTTACTGAAAAACAACGCTGAAATCAATAATACCAATACCCAAAATGACACTCCCCTCCATATTGCATCTATCAAAGGATATGTAGAAATCGTTCAGATATTATTGAAAAAAGATGCGATCAATATCAATATCAGAAATATTTCTGGTAATACGCCATTGCACAATGCCTGCATGATTGCGAATATAAAGGTAGTTGAACTACTTCTTCAAGCTAAACCCGAAGTTTGTTTGGCAAACAATGATAACATCACAGCGTTGTATATTGCTTGTAAAAGAAATTTATATCCCATCGTTTCATTACTGCTGAAATATACAGGATCCGTTGAAATAGAAACACGATCATCAATATCAATGCTTACTCCTTTACATGTAGCTTGCATACAAGGCAATATTGATATAGTAAGACTTATATTAGGATATGTGAATGATGTTAAAAGTATGGATATTTTATGCTTAGAAGGATATAATCCATTGCATTATGCTATAATCAATAGGCATATTGAAATTGTAAATTTGCTGAGAAAGAAAGGTGAGGAACTACTGCAAAAGATCAAATCTTAGGCACACGAAAAATTAAAAAAAAATCGAAATAAAGTGTAAATCTTCATTAACTTCCTATGTTTATCGTCCAATTGACAAAGCTCCATACTTAATTCAGTGAGTGTTAAAATACAGACACAAGAAAAGACAGCAAAAGAATAATTATGATCTTTTTCGATAAGTCACTACCTTATACTTTCGTACCAATCAAATGGAATCATTCGACATTGTATAAAGTCATTTAAAGAAAATTTGGTTAACACACTTTGATCAGCTACAGCAGAAGGCATCTGAAAAGATATAAAACGCAAAAGCAAAATTTCATAAGGTGTTATCCTTTACTGTATATGGCGATATGCGACGTGGGGTTTGTTCAAGAGACAATTTTAACAATTATAACAAGGAAATACATAATTTTTATAATGAATCGGGCAACAAATGTATACTATCGAAATCATTACATGCAAGAGGAAAAGCTGTTCGAATGCATAACTTCCACCAGCTGAAAGCGTACGAACTATAGCGGTGAAACCTGCAACAATATTTGCGAAAAAGTCAGGTTTCATAACCAGTAAATCTTTTGTAGACGAAACGTGCATCCGGCATTCATAATTTTAATCCCGGTATCTATGATGAGTTCATCTTTAAACTCATTAACGTTGAGATCATTCATTTTTACATCCAGCTTTTTTACAATAAAAACAATATAGTACCGTGTTTGTATACCATTCTGGTGCATATGAATGTTATTGCTAAGTGTTTGACTTGGCAAATGACACTGAGTTGATATTAGATCACCAAAGATCTCATTTGTTTAATTATTGTACCCCGATCTTATTTACCCGGTGTAGGTTTTTTAATTTGTGGTACCAAAATGTATAAAAAATCAATCCGGCATAACTAATTAGACACCCCCCTAATTTAAGGGGTTCCAATTAGATTTAAAAAAGAAAAAGAAAAGCTAAAACCATCAATTACAATTTTTAAGAAAAAAATGTACATTGGGTTAACTTCTCCAGTTGAAAATCAGACGATATTAGAGTGGGATTTCATACATATAACACATCTGCAAAACGGTAATTCAACTATAAAATAAGTACATATCTGATTTTTCTTACAGATCGCCGTAATAGTCTTTTAATTTTGGTTTTTTACATTCATCTATCGTGGAAAAAAATGGGTTCGTAATAACTTACCTTGAGATATGGATCATGGTGTAACTTTATACTTATAATGTCTCTTTCCAACGAGCCATCTTAAGTATCTTATTTTTTAATGTTTGTTCCCGGGCCATCCAATTTGAATTTCTTTCTAAAAATGCTTGACATATTTGTCACTGGACGTAAAGGAAGTGATCAGTCATTAAATCAATTTAGTGACCTATATAGTTTTTAGTCATTAGTGGTTAATTGTCTCAGCAAGACTTGCTCTTTATAGATATTTCATTTTTTAAACGAGAGTTTAAGAATACATTTTGTAAATTAAATTCAATTTGTTGTAGTCTGAAATAAAAGGTTAATGATGGTAAAGAAACATTCAGCTGAATATTACAACCCAATTAAACGATAACTTCAATTGTACAAATTCTAAGAAAAATATGTAGAATTAAAAAGCGTCTAGCGACAGATAATTGCACTGATTTATCATCAGGTGTTTGCAGCCATGTAATGGGATCATTATTAAATCGTTAAATCTGTTTTACATTTCATTCTGATAGTTCGGCGAATCTTCAGCTTTTCTTTACTCATTTTTTGTTTCCAGTTTTTATTTTAATTAGTAATTCATTTTAGAGAAAGTATTCTTCAATCTCGCCGATAACTCAGTACGCTGTATAGATGATTTAATAACCTAGATAGATTGTTGCACAACAGTCCCTGTTTAATTCGTTAACAATTAGTCTACTAAAGTTTATACTTGTCTATCGTCAAAGCCCGTTTATTCACCTCAAAATTAAATCTGTTAATAGTGTTGTCTACCTTTGATGTTTACCTTAACCTCAATTAAAAAGTTAGTGCGAGCAGGAGTTAAATTGTATCGTATCCAGCCAATCAAGGGGAAGGGGAGTGGAACTGAAATGACTTGCCGATCTTCTCTGGGTGATTATATTTGCTGTTTCAAGTTTCACTTTATCTATTGTAGTTTACATAAAGGCAAAAATGAACAACCATTTTTCTTTAACAGTAGTGATTTCAAATTGTCAATTAGTACAACGAGAAAATTTCTGAGGGAATTTATCGTCAATCATAACTAGACGTCACTTAATGTAGAAAACCAAAGTATGTTTTAGAATAAGAAAAAAATTTAACCCTTGTGATGTGTCTCGATCATTAAACATTGTAACGATGTGTGTGCATTCAATTTCATTGACATTCAATAATGTTGAAAATATATTTTATATTATGCGTTTACCTTATTCTTTATTTGATACATTATATAATACGTACGTCTAAACAATTGACAACTATATGACAGATCAATCCATTGGATCACCAGTGAAGGTGATACACGGCTGAAAACACATATTATCCTCATAATTACTCTAAATAGATCAAAAGATCAAAAAAGTGAAAAAGCATATTTTAACAAAACGCATTTGACTAACAGGTCGAACAACAAATGTTCTTAAATCCTGCTGACTGTATATATATATATATATATATAAGCATATTGTTTTTCTTTAATTGTTTAACATTTCTTACCGATATAACATGTTACTTTTATTATTCTTCCCTTAGTTTATATATTTTGTATTTACATTGTGTCATAGGTCAAATTTATTTGTTCAGTGTATGTTCAATGGTGTTAATATGTCCTTTGATTGAGTTAAGCTATTTCAGTTGATATTTTATAGTGTGTCTTTCTATGTTGTGACGTTACACTATTGTTTCAGAAAAGGGGTGAAGGTTTGGTACCATTAAAACGTTTAAACCCGCTGCATTTGTTTGCACCTGTCCTAAGTCAGGAATCTGATGTTCAGTAGTTGTCGTTTGTTGATGTGGTTCATAAGTGTTTCTCGTTTCTCGTTTTTTATATAGATTAGACCGTTGGTTTTCCCGTTTGAATGGTTTTACACTAGTAATTTTTTGGGGCCCTTTATAGCTTACTGTTCGGTGTGAGTCAAGGCTCTGTGTTGAAGACCGTACTGTGACCTATAATGGTTTACTTTTACAAATTTTGACTTGAATGGAGAGTTGTCTCATTGGCACTCATACCACATCTTCTTATATCTATATAAGTCTAAATTGAAAACAACGTTCAAACCTATGATTGCGTTGGATAAAAACCGCAATTTTTATACGTGTGCATGCAAAACAAATTTCTTGGTAGAGGGGTGTAAATACAGCACAAACAACATTTTCCAAAAGACCAAAAAGTGAAAAAGTATATTGTAACAAAACGCATTTGACTAACAGGTCGAACAACTGATGTTCTTAAACCCTGCTGACTGCCATGGCGATTGCCAAATAAACGTATCACAAGATGTAACAAACTGGATCTTAATATAATTTAATACCAAACAACAGAAAACAATAAACTCGCAGAAAAGATGGTATACCGCAAACATGAGGTGCAAAAATTGTACACCATATCCGGATTTCGACAATTAATGTCTCTTCAGTGATGTGAGGAATCGAAACGGTATTTGGAAGGCTATATATATATATATTTATTTATTTATAGTGCTAACAGTTAACTACTAAGATGGTATGACGGAAACAGATGAGAAAACACAATAACATAGAAATCGCCCTCTAAAACACGATATGTCTGATAGTATATGAGTATTTGAGAACTTGCCAGTGTTTGAAAAAAAGTAAAATAACAAAAACACCGAACTCCAAGGAAAATTCAAATCGGAAAGTCCCATATCAAATGGCAAAATCAAAAGCTCAAACACATCAAACAAATGGAAAACAACTGTCGTATTACTGACTTGGTAAAGGTATTTCCTAATGTAGAAAAATGTGGATTAAACATGGTTTTATAGCTAGCTAAACCTTTCACTTGTATGACAGTCTTTATATTGACAACAATATGTGAACAAACAGATATAGTAGGTACAAATATAAAAAATAGGGGTACAACAGTCAACATTGTGTAATAATCTTAATCACTATGAAAACAAACAAATATTTCAACAAAGAAAAACAAAATGGCATATATTTTTGTTTGCAAACAATGGCAATTTAGATGATGACTTAGTTTTTCTTTACCTTCAGTTGATCTTTGGAAACGGAGAATGTGTCAAAGAGACATAATCCGAACATTTTGTTTTGTGAAAATTTTTGTCGACCCCAATAATTATTTCCACTAAGTTTAAGGATTACATAATCCAAAAAATAGAAACACAACTTCAGGAAAAAGGTATGTATATTATAAATAATTAATAGATTACAGAGGAAACAGAAATTAGGCAAAGCAATAATCATATATCTTTCGATGTAGAGCATGTACACAAATAATCAAACAAAGTATGGAAGTGGCACGACAGTGTCATTCTTAAAGAAAACTCCCTTTTTCTATACATAGCTGGCAGAAGATGAGGTTAAAGGACTCCAATTTGTTCGTATATCTCTACTTATGAAATTTGAATGTCCCCTTGGTACCTTATTTGTGGAAATATAAAGCGAGAATCAATACTGAACCAAACTTTTGGACAGTTTCTAACATCCTATGTGTGCACTGTGTATTGCCGTCTGATCCATAAGCCTATATGTTGCTGTATTAGGATAACTCCCAAATAAGGACTTCCAGCTGGAAAGCCATTTCCAATCCTACGTACTTTTTTATGCTCATACTTTCGTAGGATCAGGTATATTTTGTACTGTTTATGTTATAAGTGTCTTTTTATTCAGATATAATAACTGATGTAAGGATATTGCGCTGCACTTGTGATGCGCAGGCAAACAGAAAGGTTCCAATCACTTGTGCATCTGTATCCCTAATATTGCTGATAAAATAGCCGTGCTTCAAATAAAATTATTTCTCTGAGTAATAACATGCTTACCATTCTTGAGATCCTGATATCATCCCCTTGTTTTTGATGGGGTTCGTGTTGCTCAGTTCTTAGTTTTCTATGGTGTGTTATGTGTAAAATAATTTGTCTTTTGGTGGTGTTTCGTTTTTTTTGCCATGGCGGTGTCAGTTTGTTATCGACTAATGAATTTGAATGAATGTTTCTTATCATCTTCCGCCTTTCTTTTAAAAAACTCATGTTCTGACACATTTCTACTATCTTCGGAACAATAATGATTTCGTAATTTCATTGAAGACCATATGGTTATACCAACAACTACATGGATCTTGGATGTTTTTCTAAACAATGTTAGGAAACATGCTAAATGTAACATGTTGGTGTATGGGCTATATCATGGATTTTACAAAACCTTTTGCAAGCAACCACAGCATATGGAACTGCATTTGAATATATGAAAAAAGTTGAAGGTATCGTTTATAATTCTAAAGGTGAGGCATATCATATATTCGACAAAAAGTATATAGTATTCATTTTTCATTTCATCGAAAATCATCAAAATTACCTTTACAACATTTTGACATTGCTATGCAGTTCCGCATACTTCCGCATACTTTCATTGCTTGCAAAATTTCATTAAATTTTTTGAGGTAGCCCATTCACAAACCTGCTACGTTAAGATATCTAAAAACAATTTTATTCATAATAAAAGTTCTGACACTGATTATAAATTTAATCAGATTTAATCTGCTGGCCTTTGACTGTCAAGAAACATCTGATATTTATGGAAAACAAAGGGGGAATGAGTCACGCTAATAATGTTAATATAACATCAGATTGTTTGTTCCTCGAAGCTGTTGAACCTCGTATTTATTTTGCTTGTTTAATTTTATATATTCGAGCGTCACTGATGAATCTTTAGTAGACGAAACGCACTTCTGGCGTGCAAGATTGTGAGTCTGGTATCTGTGTGTTTATTGTCAGACATTTAATTTTACAGGTTGACAATGTTTAATGTATTGCCATGCTTTATGTATGTGTTTTGCATACTATTTGTGACATCAGGTAATTATTAAAATTTTTATAAATCATCATATTGATGCATATGAATAAAACATTCAGTTAACACAGCATTTACAACCACTTTAATCATTACATTACAACTTTTACAACCCATGTTGATATATTTTTTCGATTATTTCATTTTAGAGAGCTTATATATAAAAATATGAAAAGTATAATGATATGATAAAGGCGACAGTAGTTTACTGATGTTCATATCTCGTAAAACTATTAGGAAGAGACAAATCAAGGTAACAAATAAAAAAGAAGAAATCGAATGATCATCAAAAAGAGCGAGACCACAAGTCAACAACACAAAACCGTCTTACGAAAAAACATCAATAGTATGACCTTAGTCCATAGATACAAGATACAAGATATCTTATTGAGCCAATTATGGCAAACAGTTGATAACGTAGTAATTATTCATAACAAAACAAAATAAATACATTAAACAAAATTATGATTTTTGATTAACAATGATAAGTTAGAATGAAATGACAAATAATGATAAAAAGAAACAAAATATAAACATGTCAGATCACACAATATGAAAATAACTACAATTGTGTTAATAACAATACAGATGATGTAATTTATTTATCAGGGTCACACTGCGATCATAATAAATCCTGATGTTTGATAAAAATTAGATGTGGAATGATTGCCAATGAGACAACCATCCACCCCAGACCAAAAAACTATCTATATATATGTTTGATATTGTTTCCAATATTTCTGTTTTCTTTTTATACAATTTAAAAAGGGTAAGGTATGTATTCATGATTACAGATGTGTCCTCTGTTGAAATCAACCTTATTGATTTATTCTTTTCCAACAAATGTAAAAATAAAATAAATCTTTTTAATAATTCATTAGAGTATCTATCTCACTCTTCACTATAGCCTTTGCATTTAAATACAAAGTGGAGCTCATCCTTCACATCTATTTTACATATGCGGTCTTCGACTCCCTGACCCAAGTATCGACCCTTTTCTTTTTCCTATTACCGATGAGGAGATAGGGTTTAAAAGCAAAGTTATCTTTGAATGTTTCATATGTTCTAAACTGGCAGAGTTCAAAGATTTTCCTTTATCACTGAATATTTTTGTTTATCAATATGTTAACACATTTTACTTTATTGATAATATAATTGATTTCGAACTTTTCTGGATTTGTAACCAGAAACTCCAAATTTAAACATCCAACCCAGAAGTCCTTGTTCTATTTTGTCATCGTATCATACGTATTAAAAGCTTCAATTAGCAAAGAATTCATCGTGTCAACAATATTTATGACACCAATACTTGACTATATTAATTTAGAAAGAGTATAATATGGACAAATAAAGGCAACAGTAGTATACTGCTATTCGAAATTCATAAATCGATTGACAAATGATTACTAGTTAATTAAATCGGACACATATATCACAATTTGATATTTGAAATCATTAAACATTTCATACATAATTAAACATTCGATGGCAACGATGGAAAAAAGTGTTATATTTTTTTCATGTTTTACCATTTATTTTCATAATACTTAATTGATTTTTCATGCCAGTCTGAAGACGATTTACCCGTATGTGTTGTTTTAGATGATAATGTCGTAGAGGTTAAAAATCAAAGGTTTCGTGCAATATTAGAGTGCTAAGTGATTGGTAAGACATTTAAAGTTAATCAGTAGTAGTATTGTTATTCAGTTTGGTGGTTAGGAAAAGAACTTTCGTTTATTTTTCTGCTACATAACATTTTTGTTTTTCCTTTAGTTATATAAAAAGTAAATCAACAAAAATACCGAACTCCATGGGAAATTCGAAACGTAAAGTCATTTATAAAATGGCAAAATAAAAAGCTCAAAAACATCTAACGAATGGATAACAACTGTCATATTCCTGACTTGGTACAGGCATTTCCTTATATAGAAAATGGTGAATTAAACCTGTTTTTATAGCTAACTAAGCCTCACACTTGTATGACAGTCGCATTGAATTCCATTATATTGACAACAATGTGAAAGCAAAACAAACAGACATTGGGTAAAAATGTCAACATTTGGGGTACAGCAGTCAACATTGTAATACAATCTTAATCACTATAAAAACGAATAACTGTCTCAACAAAGAAACACAAAATGGCAAAATGACAAAGTACATAAGCAAAAATGAAAGACAAAAATTCAAAATTGACCATATCACAATAACACAATGGCGGGATGTATAAGTACCAAGCCACGTCATAAGTATATAAACAAAATGGACTAAACAGTAAAGGTTAAAATATACAAGGACAAAAAAAAATGCTGTCTGTTCCATGGTAACACTAATGGCAGTTATATACAAGTGATGATTAGAAAACACATTTCGATTGGTACTTAGAACTTGTTTTGTGTGCAAAAATGTTCTGAGAAATGTTGAAATTGTATCGGTTAGCGATTCGTAATAAAAATGTGCACACGATCAACGATTTTGCAACCCTTTAAAATGACAAAAAGAAGCATTCAGTTCTTAAAATAACATTTTATGCTACAACCGTGAAATTACTAGTTATTCAAGATTTTTGTTTGTTTTATGGATTGTTGTCACATGGTCACAGGAGTCACAGAAGTCACGTGCTGTCCGGAGTGTTAAATTTTATTTGGATATAAAATCTTATTTTGGAATGCATATCGGTTGTTATCAGCCAATCATAAATGCGGATTCTTATGAAACATACATGAAATGTGATTATTCGGTGATGTCCCAATCGAGATAAGGATAATCTAAACTAATATATGTTTAATCAAACCGCCCTGAATATATTTCCGTATAATTAATTTGATAAAATAAAAAGGCTTATAACGGACGGATCAAGGATTTTACGGAACCGTAAGAATGTCGCCGAGTACACAAATGAAAAACCTTTTAGTACATTTTTTTTTGCCAAAAAAATATATAATCCCGATTTTTTTAGGGGTACCCCACACACCTTAAAGCCACTCCTAGTATTATGGATGAATGTAGGTGTTGACGAACATTAAAATCTACAAATTTACTATCCTATCTGGGCCACTAGTGGGGGTACCTCCCTTAGGTCAACTGGTCACGTTCAAAAAGGGCTTCAGGTCACATGTCACTTAAAGCAAATTTATAAAAGTCGATTTCGAACATTTTAAAAGGTCACAGATGCTTTTAAATGAGACATCAGGTCGACGGTTCGACCACATACTCCCCAAGGTCAGAGGTCGTTTTGGCCATTTTAGAGCCACCTTTAATATATATTTAATTAGTTAGATGAACAATCAGTATAAATAGCATTAGGTAAAATATTTATTCGGATGAATACAACACCAAAATATATTTTGAAAAAAGATGTCTTCCTGGTGCTCAATCTCAAGTTTTGAGGTATTATTTTGTGAACACTTGTTTGTTTGTTTGTCCTTTACCGGTATCTTATTTATGTCTTTGTATTCTTTTTGTCTGTTCATATTTAATTGCCACCTTGGTATTTACCCGGTGTATTCTTTTTGTCCTATCATATTTAATTGCCACCTTGGTATTTACCCAGTGTATTTTTTTTTGTCTTCATATTTGATTGCCACCTTGGTATTTACCCGGTGTATTCTTTTTGTCGGTTCATATTTGATTGCCACCTTGGTATTTACCCGGTGTATTCTTTTTTTCTGTTCATTTTTGATTGCCACCTTGGTATTTACCCGGTGTATTATTTTTGTCTGTTCATATTTGATTGCCACCTTGGTATTTACCCGGTGTATTATTTTTGTCTGTTCATATTTGATTGCCACCTTGGTATTTACCCGGTGTATTCTTTTTGTCCTATCATA